GTCTCGTCTTGCAAATGAACTTCCGACGACATTTTATTTCTATCACTGGTACCCTGCATCACACACTTTCTGTTAGTATTCTGCACTCATAACCATAAATGAGGTTAGTTTGATGTGCGGACTTAAAGACATATGGCTACAACGGGTTTTCTTCCTCACTACAGACAGATTTGGCACAGCATTCAGGCTCTCACGCTCCAAGGTTCATGGCTACTGGACCTCATAGGGAACCTCCTCGCAGCATTGCCTGAATTTTTATCATCTCGGTTAGTCAGAAAGGTTTCGCGGCGATTGTGTCACCTTCTACATTCGACAGAACTGGTGCAATAATCCATGTGTTGAATATATTCAAGCAGTGCTGACGTCTGATCATCCATTGATGTAATTGATCTATGCCATAATTTCGATATCTCATGGCGAGCGACGTTTCTGTCACTCCCGGTTGTGATACTTTCAAGTTAAAAGAATTGGATGCTTCACGTGTCGCCGCTTATTATAAACTGTACATAAAGATCGAAGTACTGTTATCGAGAAGCTCTCCAGCCATCCGAACTCACGAACATTGTTAGTTGAATATCCGAGGAAGTGCGTGTACTTCCCATGCATCATTTGTAACTCGTCGTACTCCCCTACCGAGAAGGCCCGAGGTCGGACCATTGCGCGATAAAAATTTTACCCGCCTATGGCTCAAATACCATCAACTAAGTCAGAGACAACACGCGGACATTGCCCAGCCGGAGAATGCTGCACTTCGAGGGGGGGGGGTCATTCGCTGAGGCAACACTGAAAAAAACCTCTGCGATTCTTGTCCATTTTTGATTGGTAGTGGATATCAGTTCTTGCAGTAATGCATAAAATACTGGGCACAGCGGTCAGGGGATCTTTACTGTCATGAAAGACAGCTTTGATGCATTCTATTTAGTAAAGGTAATCCAGATCAGGGAACACTGTCAAACATTGCAGGCGCTCCAGCATCTTCGCCGTGCAATCTAGGTGACCGCAATCTCTGTTGCGACATCTGCGAAAAAGTTCGGACAGAATCAGACGGTTGGAAGAACTACATGTGGATCACTGTTTGGCCAAACAGTGTCGAAACGTCATACCC